CTACATGAACGAGTATAAAACACACTTTAGCCGTCTCATTAAGAACATAACACTCATGATATATTGCATAGATTGCTTTAATCTAATTAAAGAACATTAAACTCATTGAAAAATTAATACGTCCATGTGCTTATTGTTATTTATAATGTGATTGTTATTTTTATTATTCTTTTAAAGTAATAACACAGAATTTAATGTCTTTAAAAGAAATAGTATTGTGCTTTAAGAGATTTTCGAGTAGACACTCGATTGAATTTATTGTTTTCTCAAAAGAACTTCAATCTGTTGCTATACACGTATACATACATAGTAAAGTCAACTTTAACCTTTCATCATATAATTAATTCAAAAGAAAATTTTTCCCTGCTAAATTCTTGCATTAAAATTCAAAAAAGGTAAAAATTAAATAAATTATACTAAAAGGATACTAATAAAAAATTTTTTCACTCAAATAATTAATATTTTCTCAACAAACTGTTTTTATAATGAAGAATAAATTTTTGTTTAAATTAAAAAAAAATAAAAATATTTTTATTAAAAAAACTTTTAATCCCATAAATTTTTTAATCTCATTTTTTTCTTTTACTTATGAATATTTAAATTTTAATTGGATATTTGATATTCCTTTAATTAAATAATTACAAGTACTTGTAATATATAAATAACATCACAATTTATAAATTATATTTATTGGAGATATTTACAAATAATTAAGAATGACCGAAACTGTCATTGCCTGTCACAAGCAGTTACAACAAATGCCTTAATCCCTACACATACGAACTAACATCTCACTAGGTGTAGTACACAAATAAAAAGAAAATATTTCTGAATGACTCTAATAAATATGTATTATATCAAATAAAATATTTTCTCAGTTGATATTTCTTTGTGGTGTATTAACACCAGGAGGACAGACAAACATGACACCAATATTTTTCGGATATAAGGTAATATCCTGCGACAGAATAGGACACGATCAGGAGTAAAATTTTTCATGTACGAAAAGGAATATTTTATGGCGTGTATTAAATAACTTATTAAAAGCGACATATTTAAATAAAATGTTGGCTATATATTGTGCATATGGAAAAGATAAAAAAGAGTTTATGAGTATGCATAGCTGTTTCATATAAAAAAATATGCATCCTCTACACGACACATTTATACATTTTTCATATCTTTAAACATTAATGTTCTACCCAAAAAAACAATTGAATAAATTTACCAATTTTTTTTCTACAACTCGTCATATTAAACAATTTATTTTTATCACTAAAAATTCAATGTCTCTTCTAATCTTTTAATTCAGACCTCAAAAAAATACATTAATATTAACAATTTATTTTTATTGTTGCGGTAATATTAATTAACATCAAAAAGTAACTATCAAGTTGGCTCATAACATTACTTTTTAACGAGTTCAATTAAAAATTCAAGTATAACTAAAAGGTGTTGCTTTATTTCTTATCCAACTTTTCTATTTTATGAGCTTGTCAAAGTATGAATCTGCTAATTTATCAAATGAATTTTATTATTCTTTATAAAGAAAAATATCGATTGTTTATCAAATATATATTGTTTATTAAAATCTACGACTTGTTGCAAAAGTATGAATGCTACGTGTGTAGAACTCTTGGATTTTTACTGAAGATGTTGAGCAGTTAAATTAACGAACGTTAAAAAAACGGTGTTTTCATAATTGGATTCTTATATAACCAATAAAAATAACTTAATTAACATAAAAAGCTACAATTGTTTTTATGTTGATATTCAAGAATTTTAGTGTTTCTTTTATTTCCATTCTTTACGAGGTAATTTTGACTCTTGAATTGGACCGATTGCTCGGTTGTACATTAAAGTAGCAATTTTCTCGCGTATTTCGAAGTGCGAGTTGAAGCGTCTTGAAATAGTGAGAAATAAAACGAAAGTATTTTAGGAGAAAAGAAAATGTTCGTATTACCTTGGAAAATAGAAAGTTCTCACTAAAGGTTTATATACGACATAAGGGGTGAGTCAGAGGTTCGACAAGTGAAGCCAACGGTATGGTTGGCTGGGAATGAGAAAGATAGCACATGACTATCCTTCTTTCCCTTAGAACAACGGAAACACTTCCCTAGAGAGTTGTCTGCTTATTCGACCGATCTTACGTGCCCTCTGGATTCGAACGTTGACTGTTGAAGAGAAAACGAGAGAAGAGCTTTCATCCCTCTTTCAACTGTTGTCGACCTCGATACAAAGTCAAAGACACTGCCTAGCTCAATGTTTACTTAACCCGTGTAAATTCCCGACGCAAATATTTCGCCTGGAGCTAACGACTTTTCATTTACCACAGCGAGTTTCAACTTCTAGGTATTGGCTGATCCAACACTGCCATTTCCACTGTCCCCCAGCATCCGAAGTTATGTGATAAATAACAATTTCACGTTTTCTTTTTCAATTTATGCACTTAGTGCTCATCAATCAACAATAAAGTTTGTTGGGTCGGTACTATTCAAGGGAAAATTGAATAAAAAGGCGAAAGATGATAAAGGTTTGGGGGGGTAAAGAAAGAATTCGAGTGCATCTGATGGATTTTTGCTACTTCAAACCAAGGTGGAACTAAAAAGCGTGACCTAGTTTGAGCACCAGTGTGCCATTATGTACACTAGCTTCGTGTTCACCCTCTCATACCCGCGCCGACGCTTTCTTCGCCCTTTCACTACCATTGCGCGCGCGTCTGCTATATGTACATATAGAATATATTGTATACGTGCACGCACATCCCATACTATCTTGCTATTTCACTGCCACTTAATTTTTTTTTTTATCTAGATTATAAGTTAAATGAGATTGCATGCATGGCAAATAGATGCTGACCATTAATTTATTCATACATATTAACGCGAAGTTATAAGCTTGATATTTATCTAGGGATATATATTTTTCAGGGGATTTATTTTTTTTTCGTAGATAGCATAAGCTTTCAGTGCAACACCAGGCTTATTACTAGCAGGAAATGTTGAGGAAAGAGGTTGAGTGGTAGAAGGTGCCAAGTAGACGAAGAAAAGTGGAGACGAAATAGAAAAATAATGAAGAAAAAGAAGTCGTGTTTATTTTTCGCATTAGTATCTCTGTTTCACCTTAAGAAAACTTGCGCCACTTGGGCTATACTCTTATTTGTGTTGGATTAGCGCCATTGATGAAGCTTTTTAAATGCATTGAGTCAAGTCTAAACAATCATTTACTTCAATGGACTATTTTTTATCAAGAAGCATAAAAATTACTATCAACCGCAATTTAAAAAAATGCAATATTTAAAGTGATTAGATGAGAAAATATTAAGACTAAAAAACAAAATATTTGACTTTTAACAATGAGATTATCGGCTTATTTTACGTTTAAGATGAATAAGTATGCTCTTACTTCAATGATATTTTTGTTTAAATATTTGACAATTTATTATGCTTTGATAGTGCTATCTTCAGCTATAAATATGTCGTTGTAATCCGCTCAAAAAATATTGACTTATCAATTTTTAATCGTTATTTATATTTATCTTTTTTAAAATATTACTTTTTTATAGATTAAAAAATTACTTCAAGTTCGAAGCATATATTGATTTATGTTTACATAGAAATATTATAACATGAAAAATATTTTTATTATTTCTTATTAAGTCTTAAACAATTTTTCTACTAAACAACATTCTTCTTTTGGTCTCATTCCCGAATAGTTTATTGATTACCAAAATTACTTCAAAATTATAGATTCTCTTCCACTCATGAGTTATTAATTATTCAGTTAATGAGTTCTGGAATAAAATTAATAAGGCGTCGTGGTTTTATTATAAAGCAAAATTAACTTTAGATTAAAAATTAATACTTAAAAATAATATCAACACAAGAATTTAACTGTTAAGAATAAACTATTAATTTATAAATTTCCTAGCATGATAATTTATGATAAATATTGACTTGATTTGGAGTCAAGGACTTTACTTTTCAAGTAAAATTTATCAATGATAAAATATATATATCACTTTAGATTAACACAATTTTTTATTTTGAATTTGATAAATTCTATTTTCTTGAAACACGTTTTCACCAATCAATAGTTGATTCTTTTCCCAACTGACTTTGCTGTCTGACAACTTATCACAAAAGTGTTTCTATTGTAGAAGAGAACAAGTAAAACATGAGCTTTGCAATGTTTAATATTTAAATATTTCAAGAAAAAGAAAAAAATATTTATGTAAAAATTCAAAGTAATATGTCTAAAATTGAATTCTGCAACTAGAATTCAGGTAAATTTTTTCCAAAGCCATCGAAACTCTCAAAAGTATTTTTTAAATAAAAAAAACTTCATAAGATACAATAAAATATAACTTCATTGAAGTTAAATCTTCTAGAAAAGTAATACAGGTAATATGAAAAAATCTCGATATATCTTATCGAAGAAAATTTTTCAACATCTATTTGTTATTAATTTAAACTCTTTCTCTTTTCCCTTTTGAAAATTGGGAATAAATTTTTAAAGATAGTTTCAAATAAATGATTGGGAGTCCATCAATATTAATTCTGGAAAGAGATAACTTGCCTAACTTTTGTTAAAGATGTCAGAAACTACGAGAATGATATTGACAAAAGGCTGGATAAATTTTGTCACAGAAATCCCGATGGGAAGGACGTTATTGAAGCGAGAATCTAGCGTACGCTTGGTCGGATTATCAATAGAATATGCGGAGCTCGGGACGCGTTTATAATCAGTGTCATTTATGGCATGACACTCATTGCAGCTTGTCCTTCGTTGTTAATCGAAGTGAGGATAATAAAAAAGGGACATTGGGTTCAAGAGTAAAAACATAAGTAGTCACGTCCTTTTAACTCAGACTGGATTAAGTATCGGCTAATTGTTTGCTCAATAATCAAATAACGCCAGGTTTATTTCTTGGATGCCGGGTGTTTCATAATCATTAAAGACTTGGTAAAATTCTATAATAAGTATTCGATAAATATTACCTGTGACGGGTGCTTCAATATCGATCATAGTTTTTTCAGATCGAAGAAGAGCAGCGCCATCATTGACGATGCGCAGAGCGGCAGCCTCATCAATTCTGCCTTCAAGGACAAAGTGATTCTTGAGGACATCGGGTCGTGGTTTCCTAGTTTGCGTATCGAAGACCTCTGCCACTGTCAGTTTATGCGATGGTGGAAATGGCACACCTGTCAAACGAAAATATTATCATTAATTTCATTATCACTTTCTATCTAAAACTTTGGTGGTTTAAAAACTTGATTAAATTCATTGCTCTAAAAACAAGTATCAACACTCTATTTAATTCGAATTTATCTTTCAAATTCAATATTATCACCCTCAACAAGTACTTTTTTCTATTAAATATTTTTTTTAAAGTTATTTTTATCGAGAATAGAAAACTCATTATTTGATAAAAATGACATTTTTTAACAGAAAAAATTTTTAACAATAAAGATGAATTAAATCTTGATATTGCAAACACCTAATGGACGTTCATGCTTCTTTCGTTCACGTCTTCTTGTCGTTTTAATGTATATTGGACTATCATCGGAATCAGAAGTAGTGAATTTTATTTCACTATCACTAAAACGTCTTTTTGGAGGCAATGGTTTTCTGAAAATATTTTTTAAAAGACTTTGTCCATGGCGGCTCTTTGATTCAGAAGTTCCATGAGAAGATGTACTTGGAGGAGTCTTCATAACTTCGGAAGTCCCAGAAGATGTATTGTCCAAGTCTTCTAATGCATCGAAATAATTTGTTATCTCAGCTGTTGTACAACTTGTTATGGAACTATCCAGGGTGATAACAGATTTTTCTCCTTCATTTGAATTATTTTCATCATCATCTACATTAAAAGTTGTGTCTAATAAATCAATAACCTCCGGAATAACATCCAATATGCTTGGCTTTAGTGAATCACAATCAGCAGAATTTTCATCTTGATCTGATTGTTGATCAGTTCGAGATTCATTGATTGTAGTAGTTCGTGGTGTTGGTGAATTTATTAGAGAATTTTTTGAATCCGTGAACGGCATCCAAGGATCATCAGCAGTCTCAGCATCACTTTCATCAATAGGTTGGAGATTAGAGCATTCGAAAGATGTGGATCGATAAAATGTTTCATCAAATACACTCATACTTTCTAAATCATTCGCTTCCGCGACCATGCTCGATAGTAAAGATGGTTGGTAAGGGAAAATCTCATCAACTTTTCTTCCTTCCAATAGGTCAGCTGGTTTAATTTTAAACCTTCCAGCATTTTTCAAATGAGTTAAACTCCTTGATGCTTTGAGAGGACTCTCTTTCAACTGAGTAACTGTTTCGGATTTTAATTCAGCACAGTCTGATTCAGATTTATTCCTTCTTAAACTTGACGAGGTTGGAGCTTGGAAAATGTTATAATCATCACGTGTAGAATATATGGGTTTAATATCTTGATGTTGCTCATCGAGAGACTCTTCTGGATTGCTTTCTTTATAGAGTTGCTCCAAAAAACTTTTATAAACTATCTCCTGTTCACGAGGACTTACAAGATGCCCAACATTATCTTTTACTGCTTGACGTAAAATATCTTCACCAAGATCTTGCGACTGTTCACCACTTGTTTCTCTTTTTCCACTTTGCACTTTATGTTTTTTCATACGGTTTTTATTAGTTAACGTGAGAAGATACATCACTTCTGAAACTTGGTGCAGACTTTTATCCAAGACTGATTCTTCTGTTTCTTCCACCTGGCAACACAGCAAGGATCTTTCAGCTTGACTTTTTGTTTCACTTTTTGATTCACCAAAGTCTTCAGATGTTCTTTCATTGTCCTTCGGTAAAATAGTATGAATGTATTTATCAATTGATTTCTCATCAGTGAGAGTAGGTGGAGATGTGTTGGCTAGTCTTTGTAAAGTATCTTGATTAACTTCACGTGAGCTTTGAGCTAATCTCCCAATAGTTTGTGGGCTTATATCAATCAAATATTTTTCAGAAGCAATAGTTGTCAACACTTTACGCTCCCCCCTCTCACGAGCTGCTTTAATTTCGGCAGGTAAACAACTTTTATACCGATTGTGAGCACGATTCAAAGCATCTTTTAGTTGTTGCTCGTTAACATCAATCACTTGGGAATCATCAGTCGGCATATTTGAGAAACTGAATCTATCAGATAAATTCATTCGAGCATTAATGTTTGCTTCACTATCACCGCTGGAACTTTCCTCTCCACGCCCTAGGTAACTTAAACGAGTAGATTGCGAAGGATTTGAAGCAGAACTGGATACAGGAGTGCTCAAACCCATACTACTCATTCTCTGAATTAACATGTTCATTGCTGGACTCATTCCAGATGTACATTTAGCCTTTTCAGTACTCTGTGGAGTTCCTATACCTTCATTTATTCTTCGAGGTCGCTGAGGCGTATCTGTCTCATCTATAACAGGAGGTACTTGACGATATGCCATGATTTATTGTTCTATTAAATTTTTAAATGTCTGTAACACGGCTTTATGAGAATGTCTTTTCGAGTAACTTTATAGAGAATTCAATACACTAACTCCCGTACGCACTTTAGAATAACTATCAAAAGCCATTTACTACAACAGACGTTTCACATCATACTACGATCGTAATGGCTTTCTTACTGACTACGGTTTCACATTTTACTCGAAACTATTACCAACTTTCAGGATATTATACTATAAGGATACACTACGGTGATGACATCGATTATAGATTTTCTATTTAGTGGAATAGTTAATGACGGTTAATATGACAAAATAAGTTTAATGCTTTCATATAATTTAAGAAAATATATTTATTGAAGAGTAAAAATTGATGGCCATATCAATTTCTATATTACTATTGACATTCTTAAACATTAATGATTAGAGTCTGCTTCTTTACTATTATTCATCTTGTATCGAGATGGAGATATTTTTCTTTCTACAAAAAAAATACAATAATTAGTTAATGAATTTTTTCTTTAGCTAAAATAAATATTAATAAGTATTTTAATGAACCTGCTAAATCAAATAAACGCTTAGGCATTGTATAATATCCTAGGGCATAATATTTAGAAAATTTTTTTGTAAGTTTCTTCTTTGTTGATGATTTAGCTTCAGATCCCTCACATCCAAGAAGCTGTCGCTCGAAACGAGCTTTTATTTCTGAGAATTTTCCAGCACAACTTTCCACAATAACTCCACTTTTTGAAGGTGTACTTGGGGCTGGTAAAGCGCTCTTGGAAACTCGATTGACTTTGTTCAATTTACGACGAACCTGACTGTAGAGTGGCTCGTTTGAAGATTCTAAGCTCATGGTCTCACATATGCTTGGAAGAATCTTGAAAGATTGTGATTCATTTGATGAAGATGTTTCATCAGAATCTTCAATTGGTGTTTTTGCACTCATTTTCCAATTTATTGCTGTATTTTATTGTTTCTCTTTATTTTCAAAGTGACTAAATTATTCACTGTTCCTGACAGTTACAATATAAGTAAGGACTACTTTGAAAGTGTAAATAATGTGAATATAATCAACAGGTAAAGTATTAGAATGAAAATAAATTCCCTAACAGACAGTTTGATTTATATATAGTACGTGAGAACCCCATATAAAATAATAGAGTCTACAAAAGTTTTAAAGAAATTCTTTACTAAAAGTTTTGGATTGGGGACTGAGATAATTTTTTTATTAACTTTTTTTTCTGCTTGAAGTTTTTTAAAAATTATTTTTAGAATAAACAATGTACGTTAAATATTTTTAAGCATTAAGATAAATTATTTTAAAGCTCCTTAGTAAATAAAAGCACAGTTTAATGGAAAAGTACATTTTACAGAATTTTTTGCATAACATGAACTGCTACAAAAATTTATACTCGTTGCTTGCATGTATTAAAAAAATTGTTTTTTTTTTTTAATTTAACGCATAAGCCTTGTTAAATAAAAAACATCATTACTTTTAGTAAATTGCGGATTTTACAATAAAATTAGTTACAATTATACCAACAGGATGATTTTTACTTTTAGATTTCAACATATAAACGGTAACGAACGGGCTGTATTGATTGACATATCAATGAGACTTGGATGTATGGAGCAGATCAAAACCTTTAATACATTTAGTAGAAAAAACTTATAAGAATAATTCTATAAAAAAATATAAAAACGGAGTGGAAGTAGGAAAAGCTAATGGCAAAAGAGCAATCAAAGTAAGCAAAAAAATTAATTAAAACTTTTCATAAAAAATTACAACATCGGATAAACTTGTAAAATGAAATTAAATAGTTAAAATGTAGAATTAATTTTTAAATAAAAAAAAAAATAAAATATAAAATGAAATCGATAGTATAAAAGTGTTAAAAAAAATTTTCAACTTGCTTGTATTGTCACTAAAGTTTTATGACCTAAATTCGCACTATAATTTAATTATGTAGACACAAACTAATTGAATTAAGTGAAGATTGAAATGACATTCGAATATCGAAACATTCTTAAATCTAACTAAATCGGTAATTAATTTGACAATTAACTACTGAAATTAACAAGGTGTTGAGAAATTTGTCTTAACGATAAATTTAATAACTGAACCAACCTCATAGAATGTCAAACAAACTTCAAGCATAAATATTCATATCCAATAGTTAGTTGAAAATATTAAAATTTATTATAAGTCATTATAAAAATGAGGTTGATTTAATTTTTAAATTTATTTACATCGACTGAAAATTAATATCAAAGAGTTTACTTTGATATTACAACTTATTCAACTATACTAAGAATCATTATTCAATCATAAATAATTTACTCTTCGTGATCAATTGATTTCTAACAATGATACAAAATTTATATGTCGTAATTTAATGTGATTTTCAATCATTAAAGCGAATTACTGAGTAAAAGACAAAATTAGTCGATGTCTGTAATCTTTATGAACCTGATATTTTATAGATAGAAACATTGACAGTGAAATTTATAGATATCGGAAACTAAATGTTAGCAATTGCAACCCAACACAATTCCTTTGGAGAGATAACAATCGTGTAAATTGTGTTAACAGTTAGAATTAAATGAGTGACTATTGGATTCACTTTGTCGTCACTATTACGTTTCCCACATTATCCTAATATCAAACGATCAATTCACCTCCAAATTTTGCTTAACTTTTATTCATTTCCGTTGATGAAAAATACTATTTGAAGATCTCTTTGAAAGAAATGCAAATATTTCTAGTTCAAATTAATTGATTATAAAAATAATAACAAAAAATTTAGATTAAGAGGTATTTACAGTAATAACAAAAGTCATAGATAAAATAAAAATTTTCTGAAAATAAAATTAACAAATAACATTTCACTTTCCTCGAATATTTTCGAATATTCTCGATATGTAACAAATATTATTTTTTCTATTTATCACTCTTTCATTTCCAAACTATCCTATTCTTCGCTATTATCCTCTTATCCAACATTACTGTATCTCTGGTGTATAATCGTTTTCCGGTATCAAGATATTCCGGTCGACGCGTTAGTTACCTTCGATCCGCTGGCTTTCTTTTGTAAACCTGTGCACAGAGAAATATACAGTACAATAAGCACTAAAATAATAGCAAACCAAACATATTCACAAGGACAGAGAGATAAAAATAAAATTAGAATAAAACTTGAAAAAGAAACCTGATCATCATTAAATTTCAAAAAATAAAAAGACAACTTATAAACTGATCTTTACTGCAAGTAAATTCGAGTTTGATGGTCGTGCCAAAAATCAAATATAAATAGAAATCGTGACAAAAACATCACATTAAAATTCAACTTAATTATTTCAATTCTTTCCATTTTTTTTCGTTATGATAATTAGCTTTATTTAATATACATATAATATGTATATTTAAATATGAATATTTTTTTTAATACTTACGTATCAATTTTCGATATTAACAACAGTTAAAATTTTAGCCAATTAATAAACCCATTACAGCTTCCAATGATCATTAACGAATTGACGTTGAATCAGGAAAGTTCATTAATCCATTAAATACTAATTTCCAATGAAACAGTTGATTTTTTTTTGTATAATTTTAACACTCTGTAAATAAAAAGCATGTAAATTTACATGTTTGATAAATAATCTAAAAATGAGCGCAGAAACTCGTAAATATTGAATTTTCCGCTCTAAATTTTGACGTATTAAATAGCTTGAAAAAAAAAAATTCTTCTCTTACAAATACACATCCATGTACATACTCATATTCGACGTTATGAAATAATAAGTAGACTCAGATAAACCGTTCAGTAAATAAAATACAATAGAACAAGGTCGAGGCTTGGTGGTTGTGTCGTCGTTAGTGTAAACACGTGTGAGACTCACCATTGAAATCATTCCAACTTTTCGACCACATCTTCTTGAAATAAAATTTTATATTCATATAAAAAAATTTATTGACTTCTATTTCATTTTTCTTTTTTGTGACTCTTTTTTTCTTTATTAAAATATAGAATGATAGTGTATTTAATCAATAATTCAAGAGATTCTGAACTCATTCTTGTAAAATAAAACCAATTCATTTTATATTCCATGCAACAAGAATTTAAAATTAAAGAAATATGTTTTATGATTGATTAATCAAATGATACTTACGCAGTGTTATTCTATTAAAAATCACTAATTTATCAAATTATTGAATATGTAAAAATGTTTCTTAGGTTCCACAGTTGAAATAATTTTCCATGTAAATTATTTTGATAGACACATGTTATCATTTTACTTGTAGGCCTGATGTAATAAGAGGAAAAATGCACAGAGACACGCAATCAACACGTTTTCGATAAGATGTCGCCATTAACGACAGTAAAAAGAATTTTAAAATGCGGTTTGAAGCTCAAAATTATCATTATGATTATTCCTATTGCAGACGTAATATTTATTTAGTCAATTAGTTAATGTGAAAATTTAATTCTCAGTATTTTAGTACGTACCAATACTGAGTGGAATGCGAAATTTGTTAAGCACATTCTGCGAGTATATATGTATTTATATACGGAAATATATATGTCTGAATGAGAGATTGACCGATACAAAATCGTCAGAAATATTGGCTGTCGGCCAGTCCACTACGCTCCGTTACTACTTTGGCTCCCCTGCGGTAAGTTGAGCCTAACGTATTATCAATCGTTAGACAAGTGATCCAATAGGTGGCAGCTTAGCTAATCAAGTACTCGCAAAGAGTTTGATGAATGAAATAATTTGGTCATTTTTAGGTTAATTTCATTATTTGCTGTTCATCAAGATACAACGGTATAAAATATTATAAGAAAAAAAAACAATAAATAATATGGGAAGTCATACAAAATGTATAAGAACGTAACCCAGTTAGTACACTCAACTCTACATACTCTCTACTTCATTCTGATCACAAGTATTAATAATTGAACGTGATGTTTCCGAGTTCAGTGATCGCCCAATTTCCTCTTAATTTTCGAATACGAGAGTACTAATAATATTGATTTTTAATGGAATTATCATTTATATTATTTCTGTCTTGAAAGAATTTTATTAAAAATCAATCAGTTTTATTGAGAATAATATTTTCATGCATCTCTTGAGATGAAAGAATTTTTTCATCATTATTTAAAATTATTCTTCTCTTATTTCATTTTAAATCCAATAATTAAAAGAAAATTTTATGAGAAAGAATTATTTTATAATTATTAGAAATAGTTTTTTTTTTCATTAATATATTGTTTGAATTAAATTTTATAATATTCAACGTAATTGAGTTTGAATATTTATAACATAAACATTTTTTCTTGATATTTTACATGTTTTGTTGAAACAAAAAAAGTTTATTGCAACTATTTTAAAAAAAAAATCAGCATGAAAAATACTATTTTATTCGATTTTAAAAATATCAGTTACAAAGTATATTTAATAAAAAGCATGATAAAAATTTACGTAAAAAAAATAGAAAAGAAAAAGAAACTTAAAACCCAACAATGAAAAACCAAAAAAAAAGTTGTATTTTAATTACTTGGCCACTTAAGTTCTTTAGATCCTTTGTAAATACCGTATTTTTTCATTGTTTTTTTTATCAAAATAAATTTCCTGTTTTATTATTAATTTTTTCAACTAAAAAAAAAAATTTTCGACTTCAATATTTATAACATAATAATCAAAATCTGCTTCTAGCTGTCATCAAAGAAATATGTCGAAAGAGTTATTAATGAACGGAAAAAAAAGAAATATTTTAATGAGATGTCTTTTCATCATGAGATTGTAGAGAGCCACCGTGTATAAATTCTCTTTGTCCGGCAAGTGATATCGAACGACGGAAAGCCGCAAGGGTATGCGAGCAGAGAGGTCATAAAGCCCCAGAGAAATTTCCAAAGCACAAAGTTCAGAATTTACCAAATGCATTTCACATTACTCTTCTACTGTATGTTCTAATTTCATAGTATGAGTTATGTCATACTAGTATTCGAAAATCATATGTTAAACTCATCCTTATATACTAATATATGTATAGTCTATATTATCACGTCCACTCTTACCTATCATTGTTTGACCGCATCAATAATACTAAATTCCACTGATAATTTCGGTTTCAATATTAATTAACTTCTGTGTAATCAACTAAATAACTTCCATAATTCATGATAAATTTTTAACCATTTTTCCGCGTAAATTTTTTAGTAATTTTATTGTTAAAATTAACTGAATATTTTTCATTTAATGACGAACCAGAACATTGTTTTAATATGAAATATTCCATGCAAATATAACAAGTATTATTATCAAATTGATACCAACATTAATGAAATTATATTTCAATGTTTCAAGTATTCGAAATAAAAAATTCATTAATAATGTTATGAAAAATTGGAAAAAGTTTTATCATCACTAATAAGTGAATAAATATTTTTTTTTTATTCAAAGGGGGAATCATGATTGTTGAAGTTAAATTAAAGAGTGCCCTTTATTTACATTTCAACAAAACAATGGGTGGTTGGTAATCGTATTGTACCTAAGTAAATCGCAAAGAGGAAGAAGAACAACATGAATATCTCAAGTATTCAACAAATTTGTGAAATATTAATGAATGTAAAAAGTACAATTAAATATGACTTTAAAAGAATTTATTAAATATTATATTTTCCTTAATACACAATAAAACTTTTATAAATCTGCACAACTTTTCAGTGTAATTGAAGTGCAGAAAATCAATTAATCATAGTTCTCATTTATATTAACGTATCTAAAGAAAAAGTTGGAGAATAATAAGAAATTTTTTGTCTCTATTTATGAAAGCATTTTTATTAAAATTTATCGTTACATCCAGTAAAAAAGAATCTTTTATTATTTGTTAATTAAATAATAATAACTTAATTGAACTCAGAGTTAAATTTTTTCATCCGTAATAAATAAATAACTAAACAGGAATATTGTTTGAATTAAAAAATAACAATACTTTTTATATTATTATCATTATCATCATCAAATATGAAGCGTCAAAATATTGGTAAACACGACAAGGACTCGAATGATGTGATAACCGATAAATCAAATTATATTTGTAATTATTCACCAACAATTAAACAATGTTTCATTATATTTATCCATTAATTTCATATTTTCCTTTCAAATAAATAAAAACAAACAATGTTTTTCAACTAAAAAATCAAAGAAAATAAATTAAAATAACTTTCTATTAATTAATTAAATATTCTTTGGCCCATAATTTCTCATTACTATCCAAATGTTCATTCTCAGCATCATTCACTTGACTAATTTACATACTTCCCAAAGCCAATAAAAAATATCTTCAATATTAAAAGCCTTTTTCCACAAATTCTGAAAGAGTTAATTATTAAACAAATATCTACAGTTTGACGATAAAATTCTAAAAAGTATTCCAAAAGCATTTTTATATCCTCGGCTTTATGTAAAGAAGATAAAAGAAGGCGAACATAAAAAATTCCGCATGAATTTCACGATTGCACAAGCAAGTATAAGGTTTTTAAGTAAGGGTTAACTCTGAGAGATGATCGTTGGGTGAAAAAGAATAGCGATAGAAGGGGAGAGATAGCACCTAAGAGGGAAAGAGAGATATGGGTCAGAGGATGGACCGGACAGAATATTGATCCGCGAGTAGCGACGCGGATAGCTATCTATGCCGTTGCTACTTCTCCATACTACAGGCTAACGGATACGTCGCTAAACATGCTTGTACTAACGCATCCTCTCTCTCTTTCTCTCTCCTTCAACCTTCCACCCTTTCTACATGACAGAATAGTAGTGTAATGTCGATATAACGCTTAGCCACACATCACATATGCATTTGTGCTCATTGCTCTCACCGATGACACGCTCCGTACTCGCTGACACACAATTATTCGATGAGACACTCGCTACACGTGTCCTTGCCTCTCATTTCTGACTGCCAAATTAAAATATTGACATTGCTAACATTTATTTGTTGGTCATACTTCATCAGCACATTATCACTTGACAAATCGTTATTGTTTCGTTTGAGTTTTGTGTAAGAAAAAAATTTAACAGATTTTTTTTATCTGAACTTTTTTGATATAAATGAATTATTTTTCTGAGAATTTGTTTTTTTTTATATGTTCTTGATGTTGATGACTGAAGGAACAATTGATTATTTTTTTAGTTAGATTGGTGATATCGTTGTAATTAGAGTAATAATGACATAAATTGAAATTGGCTATTATGTTTATTAACTGATAACAAATCTTTTTTGTTTAATGAAACGACTCTCTTGCAGCAGAAAGAAAGAATTTTAATTGATTTTTAGATCAATCGAATTTAATGTGATATAAATTCCAGAGAATGGTTGATTTAGTCTATTGTTCTTTTTATTAAAAGAATAGTCTAGTAGAAATTGCCAATATTAACAAAAAGATCAATTGTGGTCTAATATTGGACCAATCACAGCTTATATTAAAACCACCAGTTTTTTTCATCATTTTCGATAAATTTTTTAATTAAAATCAACTAACGAATTTTTAAAATATCATTTTCAGTTGTTAAACTAAATTCTTTAAAATTCATTCTTTTTTTCCTTTGAAAAATAAGCTTACAGAGTAGATTTTTTATTCGATTTCAAAAATTTTTGCAATGGTAATTTATTGTTTTATTCAGTCAAATATTTATCAGAATTGATTTTATTAAATATTAAACCGTCAATGTCCCATTGGATTATTACTGAATATCAATAGATACCTAAAAATTTCATATCATGATTATTTATAGATATTTCTGCACTTTTTCAATATCAGAACTGTCATATTCAATAATATCAGATATTTTTAATCAAAAATTTTAATTGAAATAATGTTTCTTTGAAGTATCCATGCAATGTTCATTCACAGAACTCATTATTCTTTCACTATGTACTTATATACAGAACAAAAAAATTTTAATAGCATAAAAAAAATTAAAGAATCATACAACATAATGATTATAAAGAAATGAAGGAAAAAAGTATCGTAGTATTTTTAAAAAAAAACCTGCTCTTTATACTGTTCATTTAAAATAACTCCGATAAATTAACTTTCATCTTTTATTATTTTATAAAAGAATATTCATCTCTAACTAAAAAAAAAAAAAAAAATTAAATAATCTTTCTATACACAACCATTCATAATTATAACGAAGAATACCAAATTATAATTCAGAAAAAAAAACTGCATCTTTGCTTAAAAAAAATATAATTCATTAATTTTTATTTTTATGATTTAAAGTACATTGTGAGTACGCTTTGTTTGGGTTTATGAGTCAGACATAACATCAATCGAATGTTTATCCTTGAGAATCGCTGAGAGATTTCATGATATGAATGAGACTCACGCAGCCAAGTTCTCTGAAGGCTTCCAGTTATTATCGAATCAAGACAATTAAGTTCGACGAACTCATGCGTTAATATTTTCGCGTTCAGCTATTACATTCGACCAGTCGTTATCTAGACATTACCAATACAACCACATGTACGCACATAACAGTATACTTTGAGCAATAATGTTTCAATGTTTCCTATAGCTTAACATTGATAATAGTTGGCGATAGCTTAGCAAAGTCACGTTCGAGGTCGTCATTGTAATTCGTTTAGAATCCAACTAATTTTTATTGTTTTTACTTTTATATCGAATGTTTGCTTTTTAGTTTTCAACTTGATTTTATCATTTATTATTTGATATTTATTCCAGTAATTTGATTCACTCTGATAAAAATAATTTGTTTGAAAAATATTTTTTCAAATACAT